AGGGGGAAAGGATGGAGCAGGAGCAGCGCGGCTCCCTCGCGTGGTTTTCCTGCCGCGGGCTCGCCGCGTGTTTTTGTTTGCCTGGCTGGGCCGGCCCTGCTGAGGGCGGCGGTGGGATTTGGGAAGGTCGCTCCGCCCCGGCAGGACGGGGTTTGGCTGCCCGGAGCAGCCGGGGCGGAGGGAGAGCCGCGCCCGGTTCATTCAGCGGCGGCGGGAGAAGCGCTCGGGGCGGGCGGCGGGCGCTGCTCCTGCGCTACTACAGCGTGAAAACAAAACACATCCTCCGGCCAAGCAGCGCTGCCTTGGCTCGGAGATGCATTTTCCAGTCAGGTTGGAGCCAGGCGTTTATTTAATTTCTTTTTTTTTTTTTTTTTTTTTAAACTGCCCTACTAATCCTTTGAATATTTGGAGGATTGGAAGCTATTCCTGTTCCCTTGTGATTCCTCCGAAGCTGTCGTGCCAAAACACTGCTTTGTTTTGTGCAGTAATTTTTTTTTTTTTGGTCGTGTGGGGTTGTTTTATTTTTGTTTTTTTAGTTTTGTTTTTTTTTTTTTAATATTCCTTAAGGCTGCAGTTTCTGCTCGGATCCTGAACTTCAAGGAAGACAGTGCTGGTACCATACATGGTCTTGTTTCCTTTTTTTTCCTTGGCTATTTCGAGGATTTATCACATGTTTAATAACCTTTTAAGATGGAGACGTAAATAATTATGTATCCTGCAGTATAATAAATACATTCACTCTTTCTTTTCCCTTTCAAGCCAACACTTGGATTTGCTGGAAATGTGGTTTCTCCACACACAAATCCAACTGTGGCTTTCTCCTCCCTATGACAAACCCATTGGTTTTCCTTGTTGGGCACTCGAGGATGATTTGGGGAAGAAACTTGAGGATTGGATGAAAATATCCAGGCACAGGGTTTTTAAGGTTAGGGAAGGAGTTGCTGCTGAAGGAAAAAAAGAGGGAAGAGAAGGTTTGGCAAGGGAAGGAAATTGGAGAGGGGCATCTTGGCTTTTATCCCTGTTTAAGAGGGACCAAGGCTTGGAGATGCTCACACAGAAAGCCTGCAATAAATACATAAAATAGTAGTACCGATAACAGAGAAATAACAGAGGATAAAAGTTCATTTTATGCAGTGAGTCCCCATGTGCACCCCTGGGATTTAAGAGAGCTAAAGTACAACAGTAATAAAGAATAGGAATAAGATGGCAAGGGTTGATGGGTTACCACTGAGCTTTATGTAGTAAACTCTACACAACTCGTTCTTGTTTTTGGTTCCCAACTCTCCCGTTTCATCCCCCCCAGCTTCCCGGTGGCAATCCCAGTCTCCAGCCGAGGAGGTGCAGCCGGAAATCTGGATCGCGCAGGAGCTGCGGCGCATCGGGGACGAGTTCAATGCCTCCTATTGTCCACGCAGGGTAACTTTCCCCTCTTCACTTTCCACTTCTCTCAAAGGGAAAGGCTGAATCATTTCTGGAAACTCTCTCTGCGGTGAGCATTTCGTTCACTCAGACGGAGAAAAGGCTGCGCGGGCGGGGGGGGGCCTGGACCAGGCAAATCAGCGGTGGCGGCCTCGAATCAATGAAAAATAACCTTTAAATCAATTCAAAATAACCTTTAAACCAATTAAAAATAACCTTGAAATCGGGGCTGGAAGCTTTAGGGCACCAGGTTTGCACAAGGGTTTTGGGGCAGAGGTGTTGGGTTGGGCCTGGACGTGATGGTGACGAGGAAACTTTTAAAAAAGGAAGAGGCAGGGAAAGTTTGGGGGTTTTGGGGGAAGCACCGTCCCTTTTAGGGAAGCATTCAGTGGGATTCCCAGCCCAGCTCCCAAATCCCGGCCGCTGCAAAGAAGAGACTGGGTCCCAGAACTTCTTTCTCTTGCAAAGACTCTTTTGAAAGAGTTTTTGTAAGCCCATGAACTCGCTCACCTTGGGGTGTTGCAACCCAAGCCGATGCAGCAATGCCACAGAAAAGCCCAATCCCAAGCCCAAGGCAGCCCAGCCCAGAGGGTGAAGCAAGAGGAGCTCGGAGTCTCCCAAGTGTTCCCGACGGCTGCATGTTCCTGCTTGTGGATTCTGCTCCATCCACTGTGGGAAGAGGAGCCAGGAGCAGTGTTGGTGATGGAATGCTGGATCCTTATCCATCCTCTTCAGCTCCCAGCCAGCTCCTGCAGCTCTTCCTCACTGCTCCCAGGGTTGGTTTTCCTGCAAAACCAGGGTCAAGCTGCTGTGATTCTGCTTTTTCCACACCATCTCCACCTGCTCCACTTTTCCTAAATGGCCTGGCATTCCTGACCTGCAACAAAATGGTGATAAGCTGGAATCCCCAATCCAGAATCCAAAATGCGCATCCTCCGACCTCCCCCATCCAGGCTGATCCCTTGTGATGCAAAGTGGCTGCTTTTTGGGATGAAAGGACATCTTTCCAATGAAAGGCAGGGATCAGGCTGTCCAGAAGGCTGGAGGCACCTGGTAGCAGCAGGCTGATCCAGAAGAGCTGGAAGAAATGCAGAGTGCCATGGAATATCCTGAACTGGAAGGGACCCACAAGGATCATCCAAGTCCAAACTCCTCCTGCCCTGCACAGCCCCAGAATTGTGCCTGACCACGTATTCCTTGAACTCTGGCAGCCTTGGGGCTGTGACCGTTCCCTGGGGAGCCTGGTCAGTGCTGGTTCACCCTTATCCCATCTCCTCCCTGCCTCGCAGGAGCAGTGCCTTAAATCTGGAGCACTTAGCGAGGAGCAGGAATGTCCTTCCAGTGTTATCCCGCCTCCTTTGGTGCTGGAAATCTCTGGGCACATCACGCTGCTCCCTACAGCCCTGGGCTGGATAAGGGGGTGAATTTAGTGGGATTGGGGGCGTTTCCCAGGCAGCAGCAGCGTGAGGTAGAGGGAGCATCCCCCAGGTTTGCAGCAGGCTGTTCCAGCAATTCCAGCGCGGGGCAAGGAGTGGAACGTGGAGGACGCGTCCTGCCCGCTCAGGTGACACGAGCAGGGGATGTCATGCGTGACCCTAAAAACACTCTGTACCTGGTGCAGCCAGCATGTGACAAATTCTCACTCCCTGCACCCGAAACCGGGGAGGTGTCAGAGGATTTAAGGCGTTGTTTAATGACCATCCCTGAGGCGCTTGGCGGAAAGGTCTCTTTTCATTCTGGAAGCGTCCTGGCTGCTCCTGAGCTGTCTCCAGAGGGGAAGGTGGAAAGGCTCCGTGCCCCGCCGGCCCCGCCTGGCTCTGGGGTTTGCCCTTTCAGCCCGAGGTTAGAAACGGGGAACTGCAGCCGTGCCAGAGCCGCACTCGCCGGGCAGGTCGGGGCTGTCTGACGGGTCCCGTCCCGGCGCTGTCCCTGTCACGTTCCCCCGGGGTGGGGCCTCCCCCCGGGCCTGCTCCTGGGACAGGGACACCAGGAAATCGGGCACTTCGCCATCCAGCCACTCCTTGTCCCAACAAGGCTCTCGTGGGTCCCAGACTTTTCCTGGAAGACGGGGCATCCCTTGACTGCTGCCACGAGCCCCAAGCTCTGCCGGCTGCCAAGTGTTAAACACTTCACTTTGTGCCTCTGGAATATTTTCCAGGCGTTCCTGTAACATAGGGGGCTTCGTGATGCTGGGAATTAAAGTCACCACTTTGTTTGGCTTTTCTCTCTTTTTTTCCCCCTCCCTCTCTTCCAGGGTTTCTTGGATCCCCAGGTGGGAAACCCCCAGGTCGTGATCCTGCGCCTGCTGCGTTACATCATCCGCCTCATCTGGAGGCTCCAGTGAGCTCCAGGCGCATCCCGAGGAGCCACCAGGACTGAATTCCTCACTGGGGAAAGCCCAGGAAGGACAGATGGACACGTGGATGGATGGATGGATGGATGGGTGGATGTGAGGACTCCCACCCTGCCTCTCCCCCAGGACACGTGGCAGGATGAGGGTGGACATCCCATTCCCACCTCAGAGTGGTGTTTACTCTGTGTTTTCCCTCCACTCTTTTCATTCTTGTTCTTTTTTTCTTTTTTTTTTTTTTTTCCTCCCCGAAGAGTCTCAGCGAAAATGTGGAATTGTGTTTTGTCATCGTTCCTGGAATCCTGTGGGATGAGCCCCACAGCGGGCAAGAGGGAAACCTGAGCCAGCTGATGGGCAGAGCCACCAGTTTGCCTTGCAGAGGCTCGGATTCCTCCCCTCTCCCTTTGCCCCCAAAAAGGCTGGAAAAAGGGCAGAGGGATTTAATCAGCACTTCTTTTACCTGTAAATACCTAATGCTACCCCAAATCCAACTTCATTTGCATCATGCAAATCAGCCTTTTTCCTGCTGACTGATTTTTTATTATTATTATTATTATTTTTTTGGGTTTTGATATCTCTATTTTTTTTTTTATCCACTCTGAATTTCAAGACTTTGCTGTCGAACTCCAGGGTCCAAACCATCACAACCAACCAAACCCCAAGCCACCAGGTTGCCTTTTTTTTAAACAAGAAATTCTTTCTATAAAACGTGTGAAAACGCTTCTGTATTGTCTGCTATCAGATGTGGGGGACTGAGCAATCCAGCAATAAAAACCCTTCCAGAGGCAGGGAGCAGCTCCTGGAACGCCGGAGGCGACGGCAGCAGGACCTGCTGTGAGTCTGGGCTGTCACAAGAGGTTTCCAAGATTGTGTTTTCCTGGGATCCTCTCCGTGTTTTGGACAGGGATGAGCACCTGGATGCAGATGAGAGGATGCCAGCCCGACATGGATCCATCCAGGACGTTCCAAGGGGATCTGACTGCTCTGTGTCCTCCCAGGGCTGTTCCCCTTTCCCCCTGGAGCCGTGGGTGTTCCTCGTTGTCTCCCAGCAGATGTTTTTGGGATTGGCTGCTCTGGCCACCCCATATCTATGCACAAACGTCCCCCTTCCCTCAGGCTGGTGCAGGTGCTCCCCAAAAGCTCCGGGGACCACAGGAAAAGGAAAGAAGGAAAAGCCCCATCCCAAGCCCTCCCTTGGAGCGGTTCTTCCCACAGGGAGAAGCTGCTGAGTGCCATGGATGATAATTAGTGTTAATTAATGATGGGCAGAGCCCCGTGGGACCTCCCTGCACGGCTCTGTGGGAGCAGGGCCTCCCCTCCTGCTCCTGCAGGAGTTTTAACCTCGGTTGCCAATTTTATTCCCCTTTCCTCCTTGGAAGTGCAAGGTGAGCAGCGGCTGCAGGAGCAGGGAATGTTTTGGGAAGGGCATTTTGGAGCCCTTTGTGGGGGGAACCTTTGCACTGGTGGAGAGTGAGCAGTTCAGAGAACGAGGGAGCTTGGCCAGGGTAGATCCTGCTCCTCATCCCTTGGGATTTGCCTCTGGCTTTGGCTCCCCGTGCCTGTGCTGCCCCAGCCAGCCCTACTGTAGCTGCCACCAGGGATTTCCCATGGAATTCCACTGGTAAAATTAAAATTAAACGGATAAAACTCGGCAGCAGAGGTGGGGGGGAACCCAGTGAGGTTTTTTTTTGTTTTTTTATTTTTGCTCCTGGTTGAGTTCCATCGTTGCTGGTGGATGAAATGGTGCTTTGGGATCTCCCAACCTTTGGCATCCCGGAATGTGTGTCCCTTGGAGTACACCAAAGAATCACCAAAGAGCACTTTACCCCGACCTCCCATGGAGACAAAAACCCAGATTCATTTTAAGGGGGAGAAAAAATAAATAAATAAAAAAATTCAAGGTATTGGCAAAGTCTCCCAGGGCCTTCTCCACAGGGGGAGTCCCCAGCCAAAAATCATAGGAAAAGGGACCCTCAAAAAGCAGGATTCCTGTGAGGTTTAGTGGGGAAAAGCCCCCCCCCCCCAAAAAAAAAAGCCTCAAAACAGAAGAATGATATAAAATAGGGATTTCTGCTCCTTTCAGCCATGTTGGCTGCCTGCTCTGGGTCGTGTCTAAGCCTAGACTGTGCTCTGTGTTGCACCAAAAGGATGAAGAGTTTTCCTTGGAAACCAGATTGATCCCATTCTTGCTTCTCCTCTTTCCCACCAAACTGTAAATACCCAAATATTTATTAGAGTAGAGCACCATATTATTTTCATCATCTGAGCCAAATATCTGTGTGCAATGTACTCCCTCTCCTTTCTCTCCTTTGTAAGTTTTGTACAGCTTAGAAATACGTAAAAAAACCAACTAAAAAACAGCAACAAAAAAAAAATCTTCTTTCCTACACTTTTTTAGAGTTGAATTGGTAAATACTGTAGGTCCATTTTTTTTTTTTTTTTTCTGTGTAATTAATGCACTCTACTGTTTAATGCTGTAACTTGTAGAAATGTTGTATATTTATTTCCTGCTTATTTAAGTTCCTGTGAAGATTTGGTTTCCTCCCTGCCAGAAGTGTTGGATCCCCTTCCAAATCCATCATGGTGTGGATAACAAGATTTTAATCTTCTTTTTTTTTTTTTTTTTTTTCCCCTCCAAGTGCCTAAGTCCCCACTTCCCAGGAGCGATTTAGGCACATCAAAGACCTTCAGCATTAGTGAAATTCAGTGGGAATTTGGAATTTGGCTCCTCCACCCCACCCCGGGATTGCTCCAGCCAGGTTTTCCTGGAGCAGAAATCCCATGGGATCACGTGAATCACTAAATCGTGTCGCAGGACCCAGCGTATGTAGCATTTTTGACTGCAATTTCCCTGCCTTCCTTGTGTTTTGCACTGATGAATTTTGGACAGGGTAATTGCCACTTTACTTGTGCAATACTGCTGTAAATAATCGCAAGAGCCTTGTTTTTTGGGGTTTTTTTTTTTTTTTTTTTTTGGTTTTGTTTTTAAGAATCTTTTATGTTCTTAATATGAGTTTTATATAAATAAAAACTTTCAACTATTTGTCCCGAGTGCTGGTTCTTTTGTGGGGATCAAGGTTCTCCTGGGAAGAGGAGATTTGTTGCTTTATCACCAATTTTCCCCGTTTGTCACCCGTTCTCCCTCCAGGCCTGGTGTTCCCCTCTCCATTTTGGTGTCCTTGGAGCTCCAAGATGCTTCAGGCCACCCAAAATGCAGCTCTGGAATGAATCTGCTTTGCCACGTGCTGCCTTGAGTGTTCCCAACCCCAAAAAGCTGCTCCAGCTGGGAGATACTTGGAAATTCCTTGGGATTTTTTTGCTCTTCCTCACATTTATGTGGTAGTAGGCTCAAGCCCAGCTGATGGGCACCTTCCATGCACTTCTTGAAAACCCCACCTGATTTTCACTGGCATTGAAGAAGTTTTGGGGTTTATTTCATGCTTTGTGTCTTATTTTAATTATTTAATGTATTTACTATTTTGATTTTGTTGTCACTATTTTTTTTCCCCTTCTTTTATTTCACATGGCAGTTTTTATTTTACAGTTTTAAATCTGCTCCTAAAAATTCCCATCCCACCTTCCTTCTGCCTTGGCCCTCCATCCCATTTGTCCCTCCTACCCCTCCACTTACTCCTCAGCAGTCAGTCACCACCTGAAAGGGATTTAAAAACAACCCCCCCAAGTCCTACTTGATAAACAACCTAAAAAAAATTCTGGATTTTTTTTTTTTTTTTTTTTTTTTTTTTTTGTTCTTGAGTGTGTTTCAAATTACAGAAGTTCCTGAAAGGGAAGTTTATTGGTTTCAGGTGCTATTTTGGGGGCTTCTTTAACTCACCAGAAAAAAAGGTTTAATTGCCCGGTGGAGCCCGTGGCAGCTGCTGGCTCCGCTCTCCCGGTGATCCCGTTGGAATTTGGGAGCTCGTGGCTGTGTCCAGGTGAGTTGTCACACCTGGGACAGGACCCTGCTGTGACTTAGGATGGATGGAGCTGGTGTGACCTGCCTGAACCCAGGGACTTGGTGACGGTGGGACGGGAAGCGCTGCTCCCGTCGGGATCTGCCCTTGGCACGTGCCAGGGCCAGATTGGCCGTGGCCAACTCCAAGGGGGTCACGGCCACCTTGAAGGTGTTCCCAGCCCAGCTTGGCCTTGGCCAGGCTCAGCTTGGCCACAGCCCGCGCTGGCCATGGCCAAATCCAAGGTGGTCACGGGTCAGGTTGGCCATGGCCAGGTCCAGGGTGTTCCTGGCCAAGACAAGAGGTGGTCATGGCCAAGCCCTGAGTAGTCACGGGGCCACCAAACTGAGGTTGGCCCCAGCCCACGCTGGCCACGGCCTGGGTCCACCAAAGCCACATCAGTGGCTCCTCCCCACCAGCCAGGCCCTTTCCGCGCCCTTCAATTCTAGGAGCTCCTAAAAACCCCCCACACAATTCTGTTTTAAGGACGACAAATCACCACTATTCCTTGAAAAGGAGCAAGCTCCCAGATTTTATTCACGGGAAAAGGCCACAGCTCCCTGTGTCCGTCAGGGCTGGACACTCAAGGCCGCCCCGTGCTCACGCTGTTGGGGACACACAAAACTGGGACATTCCTGCAGTCCCACACCCCTGCCGGCCTCGGGAATGCCGAGCAACCCGAGCTGAGGATGAGATTCCAGCCATCCAGAGCCACGGGAGCCACACCAGGCTCTCCCCACGCACAGAAATAAATATATTTATTTTTTTTTTCCAATGACTCGCCGCTGACCTTTCAAACACCTGTGCAGCCCAAACCAGCTAAAAATAGCCCCCGAGCTTTGCATTTGATTTTCATATTGCATCAAAGCTCACTCTTTCCAGCGGCTTTTCTGCCTTTTCTGGCACCTCCTTGGATGCTCGACCTCTCCTGGGGTCACGCCCGGCGCAGACGGAGATGGGAAGCGTTGGATACCAGGCGGGTCCCTAAAAGCAATAAAGGGATGTTAAAGGTGTTCTAGCGGGGTTTTTGTAGGGTGTAAGGCCAGCTCAGGGATGGCTGGACCAAGGGGACCGTCCTGCTGCCGTTGCTGAGCATCCAAAACCCCTTTTCTGTGGAATTTGGAAAAATTAAGCCCTGCAAGCCAAGGAGAGGCAGACAACGAGGTTACCCCTGATGGAGACACCGCTGTTCCAACAAAAGCTGGTCCAGTGGAGTTCAGGGAGCCCTTGTGGGGATACAGGGCCTGTTCTTCCCAGATTTGATGGATTTCTCCTGGC